CGGGGGGGGCCCCCTGTATATACATCCCTATCCGCCCGGAGGCGCCGGGGACCCCCCCCCCGCCGCCGCTCCGCGCTTCCAGGCGCAGGCGGGTCTCCATCTTGTGCGAGGCGGCGGAGGCAGCGCCGGTCCCTCCGCCGGCTCCGCGCCGTGTTAGAGCCCGAGCAGTGAATTAAAGGAGCCGATGATCTGAGGCAGCCCTCTAATGCGAAATGACAAATTGCACTTAGGCAATACATGAACGAGAAAATGATTTATGGATTTTCACGACGGTCTGAGCAGATGAAGGCGACATGAATTATACATCCTAATGCGCAGTATATCATTTTCTAATAACACTGTTTTAGTTCTAATGCTGTACGCTGCTCTCTTCGATAGGGGGTATTGATTAAATAAAAAGTCCGAGGGCCGTCTTTAAACCGGAGACGTATCTTCTGCAGGCACCAGCTGAGGTTCATATATTTACCTCTCGCTAAAGCAGAGGGCTATCATCGGACCCCTGACACCGTGGCTTTTAGTTTTTCCATCTGTCATCATTTAATTTGGCAGTTACTTTGCCAAATGAAGACTAATCTTTCATATCGCTGCATTTCGCTCCATGCCGCGATTTAGAAATGTAAATAGATGACGTCAGGTTTGTAAATCTACCGTGCTGACAGGGCTAGCACCTGGGTAAGTCAAGCCTTCCCTCCCTGCCAAAATCCTCAAGTGCCTCTTTGACACCCCAAGTAGAAAGGGGCATTTTCTAGCAAGGAGAACATAGGATAAATAGGACTCCTGCTCAACCGGAACTTCCCTAGCATTTCCATTTACCAAATCTCACGGATTATCTTAAAGAGAAAAAACTTTGCATTTAACTCGCACAACGCTGGGAGAGCGAATCGACACGAAAACCCGTGTGCGTAAGGGGAAGAGCAGCTGTCGGATAAGGAGGGGGCTTAGCCCCAGATTCAGCCTGCATTAGTGCCCCCAGGCCAGGGCTTCCCCTCTCCTGCAACCAAGTTCTTTTGCCCTTCATCACAGAGTAGCGATGAAGTCATAGTGACATAAGCTATGAACATTCCTGATTATTTCCATGGTTCCTAGTCTAAAATATCACTTGACATTAAGAAGGACAAACAAGCCCTGGCCTTTCATGAAACAGTATAAAACAGAGATGGGGAAGATGGAGGCAGGGGATTAATATGTTCATTTGCAGGGGGTTAAATCAGTGATTATTGGGGAAGAGGAGAGGAAATGCTCCATTTCTCATTACCCAAGTGTAGTATTTCCATTGCTCAGACACAAAAGGACTCACACAAGTAAGGAAATGCCCAAATGCTGGGTTTTGGATTAAACAATCGCTTTCCTAACCTGGACAATCATAGCTTTGGGTGGAGAAAGCTAATCCCCATTGTTTAGTTGAGTCACCAA